AGAGAGAGAGAGAGAGAAGGAAAAAGAGGTTTAACAGAGGCGACGCGACCCGAAGCACGTTGGTGTGCGTTAGCGGCTGCGTTCGTGCGCGCTACGTGACACGCTCGCCGGTCCCAGACGTAACGGTCGCGATCGTTCCGCGAAAAAGATGCGCGTGTACCGGATGAGAGCAGAGAAAATGGCCTGGATTATTTTCGTTACTGGTAGACACGAAAACCGCGAGAATTTTAAATTCTTATACGTGGAAAATTGAACTTTCTTTTTTTTAATTCTTTTGTTTCTTTTACTTTTAATCGAATATCATATTTCGTAAACTATTTTAAACAGTTTTGAACGAAGCTTTTTTTTTTTAGGATCACAAGCTTAATTCAGATTACATTAGATATATGGGTTAGATATTCTTCAAAAATTTATTTTTTGCAATTATTTTTAAAGAGATTGGGGATTTTTAAAAATATATTCATTAAATAAACATAACAGCTGATAATTGATAATTTGTTGATATCGTTTCGCCTACACAGATTGTGTGGCATAATTATATTAAGCTTATATTTAATCGTGAAATCGTACCATATGGAATGTTCATTAGTATTAGGGAATACCCTAGAGCGCAAGAGTTACATTGTATTTTCTCGAGAACGAAACAACCGGTATTGGTTAACAGGAAGAACTCCATCTCTTTCCACGACTGCGAGTGTTCCTCTGATATCGCGCCGGTTAAATAATCGCAACTTCGAAATTCCACGGTGCTTCTTCGATTTATTCTCCATTGGAAAGTTGCGCGGCAAAGTCTCTCGAAGTTTGCAAGCTCCAGAAACCCGGAATCCTATACGAAGTTCAAAGTCTCGTAACTTTGCCGTATCCATATGTATTTTCTCCCGAACCAGTGAAAGTGTTTTCCCTGCATTAAAATAGAATAACCTTAACTCTAGAACGTAAATATTTACCATTTTTATTAGATACTTTTATCATCGATTATCGATCAAATAACATTGTTTTTTTTTTTTATACTTATCTTCATTTCCATATCAAAAATTCTCATTGATTGATTCGTATAAAGCATCACTGTTTAAAAATAATGACACAACACGAAATATCGCGTTCTAAAAAATAAAAATCTATAAAAAAAATCTTGTAAAATATAACGATATATTTTTTACGGCAAATCCTTTCTTTTTAATTGATCAAATAAATATACCAAAGAATGTGCGTGTGAATCTTAAATGCATCTTAAACGAATAACGTTCGAGAAAGCGATTGGAATATTCCGAAGGATTAGCAGTGTAATTGTTGGACACTTGGATGAACAATGGCCGGGGTTACCGATTGTCTTCCGAGGGGGAAAGACTTGTTTACTGTTCGACGGCCGATGACGAATACCAACGTCGAAACAGAGGAGTCGCAGTTTTCGAAGGAAACGGGCGCAGGATTAGGTGGACGGAATCGACTATCGGTTATCCGGACACGGATTATCGAAGCCCTCTCCCTCTACCTTATTATCGAGGCCCGAACTTTTACGACGCTTCCCTCGGTCGAGGGCCAGCTTAAGTCACGTTCAGGTCGGTTTGTGTCTATAGTTGCACGAAAGTACGAGGGAAAGTACTCGATATTTTCCACTTTTGTTCGGTCCTTGTAAAATTTTACAATCGACCGAATTGTAAAATTTTCCGTTAAGTCGAATAATCATTAAGATGAGTTATAGCAATTCACTCGCCAGGTAAATTTCAAAACTACAATATCGCTTCGACTAAAGTTGTTCCCCCGCTCACTTTCCCTCTAGAATACCTTGACTCTAAAAGTTTATCGTTTATTCGTATTGAAATTAATTTGTAACAAGAGGAAAAAAAAAAAATTTTTTTTCTCGTCTCTAAAATAAATTCCACTTTTTCCAATAGCGGATATCAATAGCTTAATAAATTCGATCTTTTTTTTCCTCTCTCTCTCTCTCTCTCTCTTTTCACGTTCCTGTGCAATTATCGGACAGGAATCATCCTTTTCATCGAGTAATTAATCAACCTTACGT